GAATATGTTTGTCTAAGGCTTTGCACATCCGCTGGTTACCTGTTCCATTATCACGTAATGATCATAATGAAAAGCTACGGAAATTTCCTTTGTCTTTTGAAAGAATCCTCAGCTTTTTAAGAATTAATGGCAAGAACCAAATATGATTCAGCTTTTACGCGATGTGCAAAACTTCGTATAACCGACAACCCCTATATTGCCATCACGTTTCATTGGTTTGGTAACGTGGATTTTTAGTGGTTCTGCTGCTGTGACGTGTCAAGGTTTGCCGGGTTTATCTCAATTTTAATCGCGAAATTCACAGAGAAACGTTTGTTTCAGTACGAAGACATAATATCATCAGAAACACAGATAAGGCAGTTGGTATAAGTATTACAAGTTTGTAAGGTTTATTCCTTATGTGGTACTTTTAGATATTTTGTCTCTTTTTATCTTCCGGGCCTTGAGCATAACTGTAGCTGAAGAAATCAGAAAAAAGAGGCCACCGAAACAAGTTAAGTCAAGGCGCGCGAAAATGTTGCAGAAAGAGACACTCCTTTCCGTCATGAACATTATTAAATCATTATTAAATCTATCTGACCTTTTACTTTGTTTTCCACTGTTAAACTAATTTCCACAGGAATCTCGAAAACCCATCCGAACGAAGAATCCAAGCGCACCGCATCGGTACAACAAAAGAATTAGTTATTAACATCGGCTTAAGATCGTCTCGCTTACTACACCTATTCAAATAATGTAACACTTGTTCTCTGTGGTTAAATGCCAGCCTAAAGCTGTAATTATCACATGAAAGTGTTGGTGCCCGACCCGACTTCGTTCTGTTTAATATCAAGGCTAACAGTTATTTGAAATTCTTTTTCGCCCTAATGCTTTTGTAAGTTGTTTTTGTAACTGCGTTCCAACCTATTCTGATAATCAGGAATTTTCTAGCATCGATACGATACTATTCCCTTTCGAAAGGAAAAACTTACTTTCGCAAGCTCTTGCTGAAATTGCCTCGCGGTTTAGTAACTTTTTGTCGTCAAAGCGTTCACACGGCTTTCAAAACTGCAGTGATGCCAAATTCAAACAAACGCCCACCTTTTTTACACCCGTAGATTAGTGTTTGGTCCACCCTTCGATCTGTAAGGCATTTTTTATTGCGTAAACTTACGAGGAAATATCTTTAAACCCGGGCCACACCTATGCGTGGCTGATCACTGAGAGATCAAAGGTCCGCTGTATTAGAATGTACTTTTAATCGATTGGAATTGAAATTTTCTTTCTTTAGGCTCGAAATTCCATCGTCATTTTTTGGCGAACTTGATGAAGATTGACGAAATCGACTATGGGGACCACTGGAAACCAATCGCCATAGATGAAGCACACATATATAGCAACCGCGCTGTGTACCATCATTAGGTTCTCAGAAGCTGTTTTAGACTTCGTATGCAAAGTAGTACGCGTGTAAAACAAGCCCTTACTTTTGTTAACATTTGGATTCATACTTTCTGGCGGCGTTGGGGTTTTAACGATAGTTTATGGAACTATTTGCTTATTGCACGATTGTTCTATGAAAACGAAGCAAAAATGTTTTGCACAATCACTAAAAATTCAATTTAAAATAAGATTGCAAAATGATTTTACTCACGGGTTTTGTTCCTCCTGCTAAGACTGACTTTTCTCAGGCTTGCTTCAGACCGTAAATGTTTCCCAGCCCTTATCGTTGCGACGGGGTGTCGAAATGGAATTTCTATGGCGAGGTAATTTCTTTATGTACTTTGTGCTCTGATCGACGTTTTTTTGTCTAATTTTGTTTACAGTTCATGATATTGGAATCGGCCTGTCTCCTAATCAAATTAAAGTAAACAAAATTGTTAGCATTACTGTAAAAAGTTACAGGAATACCTTCACTCAAGTTTTGCTCAACCTGACCACTTTACCATGTTTTCCTTTTTAACATGTCCTTAGTGGTATGAAATGGCATTTGATCAATTACAACATCCATTACTTTTATCATTACACATCTGGTTTGTTTTGTTTGTTGAGACTGAAGTGTTTTTCGTGGGCGTAAATAAATTTAAAATACAAATTAAGTGGGCGAACATCAATGCCTTATTTCTTTACGCTAGATGACGCAGTGGATACATACATTCTTTATTTTTATTGCCAGAGAGCTTGTCAGTTAATTCCATCTAGCAAGGGCAGGAAATTGAAGCTGATCGAAAAATTCGAAATTGAGAGCAAAAAGTTAATATTGAAGTTGATAAACGAGGTTGATATTCTAATCCATGTGGCAACAAAGTGGTGGATCTGGTTGGAGAACAATAACACCTTGACGAAACTTCAGTTGCTACAATAGAAAGTGCATCCAAGCGAAGCTAATAAAAGCAAAATATTTATTGTTTGAACCAAAGGCACCTAGCAACCAATTCTTGGAAAAGCTTGTGAGAGAATCAACTCTGACTAAATCTCAGGCTCGAGATGAACGAGCGACTACTCGAAGCTGTCCCACAAAACTTGTTTTGACGTTAGAACCGCAGCTGGCAATTATTTTAGCGCACAAAGTCGAAAAAAAAAAGACATCGTGGTTATTGTTTATCAACTTGTTTTGTAATACGGAACTAAGGTGCATTTCTCGCTATTTCCAAGATTGGAAGAGTAACCCGGCCATCGGCTGCATGGCAGAAAATTAAATGGGAATCTGGAAAGACTGGAAGGACTAGGGTAGTTTTTTTTATTTTCTGTAAATGTACTCTGAGTGAAATTTCTGCATTCCAGTGCTCAGCATCGTCACGTCTGTCCCCAGTCCAACTCGTTTTTACACTTGAACCAGTTCTTTCATTTGAATACCGCGCGCAGACTATCGCAACAAAACGCGTATACAGTATCTACTCACTGTGTTTCACCTCCCTTAAGGTGAAAGCTTCTGGTCAAACGCGCAACACAGACTTGTATGAAACCAGTCTTCAATCTCCTGTGCAAAGCCACTTGCTGAAGGTAACAGCAGATAGATCGAAATTCACTGCAATGAGGTGCTTTTTTGCCTCTAATATGCTGTTTATTCCTCGTATCCCGAGTTGTCCAAACCGTTTTTAAAAGTTCCTATCGCGTCTTGCTCTCCTACAAGGTTTACATATCCGATTAGGTGCTCATCAAAGTTATAGCACAAGTTCACCTTCCGCAAAGGAAAGAAATGCGTTAGATATAGTTTAGACCTATTAAAGTTTTATCTTAATTCGCTTATGCATACTTTACAAGCATTTTCCTCCCAAAAATGACTTTGGCTTTTCCCAAATGATCCAAACTTAAGATTCTTGTTCAATAGTTGGGATCTTTAAAATAATAACTGATTACAATAGTATTCACATAAAACGTCCTCACTTTAAATTCTGGATTTAAATCTCCAAAGACACAAAACAATCGGAACTGAAAGGACTCCGGCAGTAACAATATCCTGGATAGATCAAGAATCTGAATTATCTGCTCTCTCGCAATTTTAACTGAGGGACAAGCCAGGAAACCCTGGGGAAAAGGTTGTATGTTGTTATGTTCTCGGGCAAGACACCCCTATGAAGATGACTGACAAGGAGACGCGGTGGCGGGGGCCGGTTTATGAAGGAGGGGGGCCGTGGATCAGCAAGGTCTGCCTGGGGAAGACGTTTTCCTCTTACAGTGCCCTTTACACCATTGGACCCGTAAGAAAATTCATCGTAAATGTACCCAATGAATAATTGCTGTAGAGGGAGTCCTGAGAGTGCTTCCGACCCGATGAAAATTGAAAGCGGAGTCGTAAGCGGAGTCAAGAGCTCGACGGAATCGAAGTCGCGTGTCGGAAAAATCAGAACGGTTGCATCATTCTTCCAAGTCCGATTATGACACCGTATGATCGAGTAGATACTAGATCGTAAAAGTCGCAAGCAGTAACAGAAGAACCAGCCAATCACCATGTGAGTTCTCAAGCCATCCGTTAGCTTACAATTCAATTCAAACAATTAAGAGTTCACAGATCGCAAGCGATGGATTGGAGTCACAAGCATGATTATTCTGCTTCCGATTTTAACCGGATCGTATCGCTCTGCGCTATTAGAATTACCTGGAGTAATTCTTATGCCATGAAGAACTATAACTACCTTCCGTGTGACGACTATGTTCTGCATCCTCGCTTGCGCGGAGTAATTCACTGCGTATAAACTTCGTCAAAGCCTTTGACGAAGTTTATCTGCGCAGGGAATTAATTCGCGCACGCGAGCGAGGATGTAGAACATAGTCGTCACGTAAACTAGGTGCTATTTACGATGTGACGGTGAGGTATTCTGAAAATTATTGCTTCGAGAAACTAGATATCATAAAAGGAAAGATACCGGAGGAAATTCACTTTCCCACTCAGAGATATTCCATCGATAGATTCGCTGGGTATCGACAATTGGTGCCGCATACCATGGAGCGAAAATTTATTTATTAACTTCTCCACTACAAAGTACGGCAGGAGAACCGCAACAGCGGGTAGCCAGTTACTTCGGACCCTGAAGAAATGAAGAACGGTTATCAAAATTTTACAGCCGGCTAAGATGAAAAAAATTTTACTCCCATTGTTGAGTCGGTAACTGCAGAAAACATTGAAGAGGAAGCAGAGAGTGTTTCCTATGAGAATGAGTTAGTTTTTTTGGCCGCTTTTAAGAAGTTGCGTTTGTCTTCGTTCAGCGTCGCCAGTGTTGAGATAGCACTAAGAGTGACTTTCTGTAAAATACCACGGATAGATGTCCACGATGGAAAAATCGAAATCTTCCCAACTTTGCCACATTAATGCCCTCGTGAAACTATTTGAGAAAATACAAGATTCAGTTTCTTGTGATTAATATTTTCCAAAAATCAAGAATTTGATCCTTTTCCACCAGTTAAAAAAGTAAACAATTGATTATGACTTCGTAGTGGCAATTATTTGAAAGGAAAAGCATTTTTATTGTGCGAAATTGAGCTGTAAACCTCATGACAACAGTTCCCGTACCTGCGCATTTCTTTACTTTGAAGCCTGGCTTGTACCAGTAATCTAAATATGCAAAGTGTTCATCAAAATGTTCGCATTTCGTCTGAAAGAAATCGTACGAGCAATGATGGAAGAATAGGACAAACATTTACTCACCTCATATACATATGTTGTTGAAAAAAGACCAAAATCCCTCTGCTAAACTAGATTGTGTGACATCCTCTTTGATTGGACCCAGGTAAGGGGGTGGGGGTGGGGTCCAAAGCAGACAAAAACATTCCCAGGTAAATCTCATCGCAAATAAAAACGCTGTGTAGGCTTTTCGAAACAAACAAACAAACAAACAAAATCAATCTTGGGACAGGAGCCGATCTCCTGTTGGGAATTGAAATAGTGACGTTGATTCATCTTAACGCAACCCTCGAGCGGACATGAAAACATAGCGCTTAGGTCTCGGCTCTTTTCCTTCTCATGGGTTTTGGCTTATCGACCGCCTGAGATACTTCTGTGAAGTCCCCTGAGGAGAACTGGCACTCAAAGCTGAGTGGCTGTGAATAATCTGGAACTAAAAGACCAAATGAAAATGCCACAAGTTTCGGCTCCGCAAAAACAACAATTTCATATCGTGTGCAACTTCAGTTCGGCTTTGGCAAAATATATAATTGAGCATAAGAACTATTCAAAAGATGAGCCGAGTTTCAAAGCTAAGTTAACGGTATTCTTTCTAAGTTTTGCCTTTTTACGTTGTTAATTAGACTCACGGCGTAAACATTATAAAAGTATCCACCTCTTGGGGTTTCGTTAAGGCGTCCGCTGACCAGTAAAATACTGTATACTGCCTTAAAAAACGTATTTTCGCGGTGTCTATTGAGGAAATCATCGCGAATTCCAAAGGCTTTTGATTGTTACACAAATTCTCCCAGTGGGCACCATAGGAAATGTGATTAGGAGAACAGTATGGAGAACTTGCATACTGATGACTCCGCAGCTGTTTATCAGATTATAAGCCAAAATCTGTGGCTCAACTTCCGTGGCGTATGATGACTTACAAGGCTCTAAACATTTTTACCGATGATCATTTCGCTCTTGTCATCAAAATGCCAACTTTGTACCGCTTGGGATACTTCTGAGATGATAAGTTATTTTTATTAAGGAAAACTTAACAGAGATGACCTTTTTGGTATAGTACGTAGAAACTCGAGAAACGTACTCTGGAAAGCGTATCATATGTACTTCTACTTATTAAATAAACTGCGGTATTTTCCATGGCTTTCCAGCCCTAAGAAAATCCGTTACAACACACGTCTAAAATTACGATAACTTTTCACGTGTGTTTGATGTCGCCAATCAACTGCATACAGATCACTCGCCTTTCGTGCCACTCTACCAGGTCGATGAAGAATGGCAAAGCGAACGTTCACCATCTTCAATTCAAGGCCGTTTGTCGAATTTTGTTGTCCGTAAAGGCCTATGGTGTTTATATAATAAAAAAATAATACTTGGCTGATTATAGATATGTAATTTCTCTTCTTGTTTGGAAACTCGAAAAGGAATTCCTAATCTGCGCGCATCCATGTATTATTCTCTATTTATCAATCGCCAGTGAAGTTTAACTTAGCTTTATTTGTTATGTTTTTCATCGCAGATATAGTTTTCTTCATCTACTTGTACCAGCGGTGGATCTATCCAATCGATCCGAAACGTGTCAATGAATTTGGTCTAACTGGTGAACCTGTGGATAATACTGACACAGCAGACCCTAATGAGGCAAGGCCTTCTAAAGATGGTGCTGCAACAGCTGGTAGTGAAGTCGTGTCGGATGAAAAGAATGATTAA